TATATATATATATATATATGCCCAGTAAACATCAAGTAACAGTTATATAACGCGTGTGTTATATAACACTTATATTGTTGAGTGGAAAATTATAACTAACAGTTATATAACTGTTACTTGGTGGGTGACGACGTCAGATTTTACCGGGAGCGCTTTACCAGGCTTACGTATAACGTAGAGTTGTTTCTGTGAGCCTGTTGCCTGCCGTCACCACGAAGAGGTGGCTCCCGTTACAGATAATCCACTTAATTTGTCACTTTCATCACCGATTGGATAGACATTATTAACATCTGTGAACTTTGATCTTGACCTCTAGGTCAATAGCGGTGAATGCATTCCTCCCATCGGAGGCGATCGTATTGATCCTGTCATTGAAGTAATTAACCAATGTTCAACTTTAGATGCCAATATCTTAGAGCAGAAGCTTCAGATTGTCATGAGTTGGGTACATTGGACTCCTCTCAATATACGCTTTCATTTGATAATTGTTTCATTCCGTTTATGGATCTATTTTGGGCAATCTTCTTTATATTGTACAATGGTAAAAAATTTTTTTCTTATATTAATACAGTAACAAATTTATTAAAAATTACTTTCAGATTTTGTACCACATTTTACATGACGTATTGTTTTGAGTAAATTCTGATAATAATTTCTTTCATATTTTCGTTAAGTCGTTTTATATGATAAATATGATTGCCATATGAAGTACTTGTAAGAAATATAAGTTTTATAAGTTTTATAAGTTTATCACATCACGTGATATAAGACGAGTAAAACCACTACTAAATTTAGATGTACATTTGTCTATTTGGCGTTTGTACACTTGTCTTCAGGCAACTAATTGATCTTCTCTAACTATACAAAGATGATAGAGAGGCAAATATTGTCTATGTTTTTGTGCTAGAAACATAACCGTAATTTTACTTTTATTTTTGTAAACCGTATATTTATTTTGCAATAAGTGCAGTAGTAACATACTGCATTATAATAAATCTGCCCTACTACTAATCTTTGCACAACAAAATTTTCATTTAAAGGCATTTTGTAACAAATAGGGCTTGTAATGCTTAGAATAAATGAAGCTCGTTATTGCTGTTTTGTTTCAGAAAAAATGACTTATTTAAGAAAATTATATAATTATATAATATTTAAGAAAAGTTGCTTGAGAAAAAAATATTCTCGATAGCCGAAATGTAGGCATTTTTATTGTTTATTTACATTAGTATAATCTAATTTTTTAGAATATTTATCTGCCATTTTTAATACTGTGCTAAATTATATACTCTTAGGAACAATTTAACCAACAAGCCGTACAACCGTGAATCACATATACGAGTTTTCAGGTATTTAAAGATTGACTAATGTATCCGATTCGTCCATATGTTTTCCTTCAATAATTTTATTAAAAGGAATTACTTTTATTATTTAAAATAATATGCATACACACAATTGCAGAAAACTTTATTTAAACTGATAACATGTCATTTAAATATACGTGTTTTCTCACGATATTAATACAATAAGAATATTAATACGGACTTTGAAGACATTCAAAACTTTAATTGACTATTAGGATATACTTTTTCTTATTATATTATTTTATGTTTTAATTGAATATTTCATTTTTAATAAAACTTTGAGAGAAACATCTTATGATTTCTTTCTCATCGTTCCTCTCACAGCACATACATAAACGAATCTGTCCCTTATGTAAATCGCCCTGGTCACTCTTGTACCGGAGCGTTGCATCAACACACAGTGTCAGTGCTGAGTCCGGTTTGCTTATTCGCTTCGTTGGCAGCTGCGCGCGTTAGAATACGGACTCTGCGCGGACTTCACGGTATATATGTTTGCAAAACGATTTCCACACGCACTTTCATTTCTTTCTTTTTTCTTTTTTGAAAAGCAAGTGTAGACGGTTTTGTAAACGACTATATTCCCAGGCCCGTGCTGAGTCTACGCACGCGTGCTTGCAACGAATAGAATAGGTAAAGCTATTACACTCTGACTTGTATATTGATACAGTGCTCTGTATATGCACATATGCAGACGATCTAATCGAGCCGAATGATTAAGAAGAGCTGCGAATTTTATTCTAGCAAATGTTAAAGCTTTATTGAAACTCCCTGTATTGTTAGAGGATCCGACGCGTGAAATTAACGCGAGACAGTCTCGTATTTTGTAACGGACGAATGAAATACGACGAGAGCTTCGCACGACTCACCGCGAGCGCGAAGCGTCTTAAAGAGGATATCCCGCGACTCCGAACTCGCCGAAATTCGGAAAGAAGAGAGGAGCAAAAAGCTGCCCGTGGACTTACCCTAAGCTTCTTCTTCCTGTCGGGGGTCATGAAACCCTTCTTCGCTTTCTTGGCTTTGGAAGCCTCCTCGAGGCGAGCGCGGACCTCCGCCCTCTTCCTCTCGGTCTCCGCCTGTTTCCTCTTCTTTTCCTGCATTTTTCGTGTGAAACTCCCTTAAAACATCTCATCTGTGAAAGCTTCGCAGCAGGCGCCTCGCGAGACGGTGTTGCGCGAATTCGGAAAGTGTTGCGCGATTCGAACTTGTCTAACATCTCCCTTGCGCCTTCGTTCCTTCGCGTTTCCTCGAGTGAAAACTTTCGCGAGTCTTATATTGGAACAGTCGCGATAACGAAAGTAACAATAATTGCTATGAGAGAAGAATCAAAAGAGAAATGAGAAAATATCACCGAAGTATCAAAGTCTCGCATCGTTGTCGTGTTAATCATACGTAATATTATAATAATTACACGGAAAGGAAGACTAGTGGAACTGACATGTTTGGTTGAGCAAGTTTTGATAAAGACAAACAGACTTTCTGATTAATATAACGAGATATTTTGATATACAACTAAAACATTTTGTTCTAACATCGGTCAGAGTTTGATTACTGTGTATAGTAATAATATTTATATGTAATATCTATATGTAGGCTGATTATTATACGCGGAAAAAGAACATATTTGGATAACGTAATATGTTTGGTTAACGACAATTGAACTAATCTAATCATGAATTTCTGGTTGTTATAATCATGAATTTCTGGTTGTTATAATCATGAATTTCTGGTTGTTATAATCAAATATTCTGCTATTCAACGATGGTTATAACATAAGTAGACAATATATAACAAATATATATATTTTTTTTATTATTGTAATTGATTACTTTAATCAAAATGTATATAACCAAATTTGTCTGTTTACCTTAACTAAAATTATGATTTGCCCATTTCTTACCAAACAGTTTGTTTAATGTATACTGCATTCAGAGAAATTAATTCAAGCAATATTTTTTTCCGTGTAGAATTATAAATATTAGAATTGTTCATTATCCTCTGTAGAAGCGAATATGTAAAGCGTCGATCGCGAGATCTTTATTCCTTTGATTATTTTCGCGAAATTAAAATTGCTAATTTAGAATATATTTGATATGGGTTTTATTCCGTAATAAAGCTAGCGCAAGCTCCCGTCTCGACGAAAGGATTCCTTTCGTCCATCCTGTAAGTGGCCGTCCTTTAAGAGGCGACTCTACGTTTCATAGCTAGTTTCCTCTCTTACGTACATCCTCGATGCGCTTTCTCTGGAAAAGAGAGAGAGAGAGAAAATTCTCATTAGTGCGCTTCGTGTGTCTGGGTCGCATACACGCGATACCTGAAACACTTTTTACTGCACGGTCTTTTCGACTGTATAAAAAGATATTTCTCAGAGAAAGAGAGAGAGAGAGAGAGAGAGAGAGAGAGAGAGAGAGAGAGAGAGAGAGAGAGCACAATATATGCGTATACGAGAGAAAAGAAGAAATTACGTCCCTCAGTGTTTCAGATTTCGCCATTAAGGAATACTTTACAAAGCATTAGCGTAGCGACCATGTTTTCGCGTGTACCACGGCAATGCGGAGCTAATGGAGTCTGTCTTAAGTGATAGAACTTCGTCCTCGTTTAAGCGGCGCACGACAGCCATTCAACGAACATCCTTGTAATATCGTTTCGTGCAAACTGCCGCTTTCGTTTCGCTTATGATATTACGCGTCCACGTTCTCTGCTTCATCCCTTCGGTCAGCCTCGCCTCCGTTAGCCCCGTATGCCGCTTGCACGGCGGATTTAAACAATTGACCGACAACAACACGGACAGCAAGGTTCAAAATGATATCCGTGTGGTCGCGGTGTACATAGGCTGTTGCATTAACATACAACTCAGTACAACGGCTTGTCTACTCGTTTCGCTGATACAAAACGACTTGCACATACTTTCCACATCTTGTTATTGGCGAAAGTGAGTGCAGAATGTTTTTGCCAACGCCAAGTGCGTGCTGAATTTGTGCCGCGCGGGCGCGTATCAGCCAGCGAAATAAGCAGACAACCCCGTCATACTGACTTGTACGTTGACGCGACATCCTCTACGTGGCATAAAAGCGGCGACGTGAGCGAATTTTACAGCTACGCCATAATTTTATTTACACAGACTGAGCGCACCATAAGAGATAGTGAAAACTTGATTAAAAAAGGATATCTTATTACTGCAGGCATACGATCCTTGTCTGGCTTGATTCCTGTTGGAGAAAGCCAGAGGAGGATAGAATGTCTTTAAGAATATAGTTATCTTTCAATCTTGCCTGCAACCTCTTATAAAAAGGCGCAGTCTATGTATATAAGTCTTTGAGCTACGCCTTCAAACCTTGACATCGCGCGCGCGCGAAACGCATCATCATTGGGTAACCAACGCGACGTGTCACGGTCTTAAGAAACACCGTAGTCGCTGACAAGTTCATTGCGAATACTATTAATAATTTACGATCGCCAGTTGCTTGACAAGCGAACGAGATCAGATGCATATATTCTACACGCGCGCGCGCAGATAATTACTCCATTTTTTTTCTACTTTTTATGCCAGATTTCCGCTCGAACTCGTAAAATTTTAGGTGTAGATATACAATATGCAGATATGATTAAGCTGTTTGGCTTGGTGCACGCTGCGAGCTGCACTGTGACGCAATTAACACATATATATATTAACAACGTGCATTTACAATTTGGTGCGAAATATTAAGCGTTAGAGATACATGCGGCTCAAAATTGGACGTATGTCACACAGGACGGTCTGACATCGTGTCTACTTTACCCCAGTTTGTTCTGTTCTGTTTGATTTCTATACAATTGTATGGTGTTGTTTCTATTACGATTTCTACGATGCTGTGTTTATTCTCGGAATTTTATTTTTAATTACGGTGCTAATTAGCTTCGATGGAAGAAGAAGAAACAAAAATATATTTGCGAAGAAACCGTTGGATATCTTAAAGATAATATAGTTTATGATATCATAAACAATTACGAGAACTAATAATAAACATTATATAATACCAAATAACATTTAAAAAATATCTCACATTTCTAATACACATAATTTCTAAATAACATGAATATTTGTTTGCATAACATATTATGCAATTCAAAGAATCATGATAGTAAAATAATTCGAAGACATACGTCTTAAATAATGTAATGTGTACGTAATATAATACGTGTGTACGTGTGTATATATATTTGTATTTGCTTGATATGCATTAGTGCGAACTTCATAATTATCAATATGGAATTTGTATAAGCGAGACATGTTTCCTGCATCGATAACGTTTACAACGACAATTCCAGGTCGGCGCTTTGAATAAACGAATTTTCCGCAAAAACTGTGTTGATAGTTTTTAATCAATAAATGGAAGCCGTCGAACCGATCTTTCAGTAGAGAGACGCGCCGTTTCTATCGAACGCGCTGAATTTCGCTTCGCGAAAAACGCGGGTACACGAGTCTCAGAAACTAAATTTCCCCGTCGTGCCACCGCGAACCAAAGGGCTCGAAGTGTTATAGAGGAACGCACCATTCGTAAATTCAACTGTATTGCAAAAACAGCGCAAACTAAAGGCCGATTCGGAATGAGAGAGAAAAAAGATGCGCAGTGATCAAGTGCCGAGCGAAATATAGATTACGCCGAGATCGACGAATCGGACCGGAAGAACGGGATCTTCCCGGAAGCGTATCCGCAATTGAAAGTCTGGAGATTTCGTTCCTTCGAGGATAACGCGAGTGACAAATAGCTCACTCGAGTAGCAAGAAAGAAGACGCGTAAAATAAAAAAGAAAGAAAGAAGTGGAGAGAAATAGAAAGAGGTATAGTACGAAGAAAGAGAAAGAAATAAGAATTGAAGGAGAGAGGAAGAGGGAGAGAGAGAGAGAGAGAGAGGCGGGTGTAGAGGATGGCGTTAAATAATGCCGAAATAAGGACGCGAGTGTGACGATAAATCAGGCAAAAAGTCCCGCCATGGAGCATACAGCGGAGACAACGGACATGTCGGTCGTAATACGACCGGTCCCATTTCCTTTTCCTACAGAGCGGAAATTTTACGGTGAAAATTTCGCGGGATATATGCTCCCGGCGCGTGGGGCCAAAAACCTTCATTAACTTTTACATTTGCGGCTCGCGCGCCGCGCAAATTGGCTTCATTATACGGAAAGAAAACTATCCTACCGTGCAAACGAAGAATTGTCGTCCGCAAGGTGGACATTAAGCGAGAATGATGACGTAATCGCCGAGATAAAGGGCTTCAAAGGGAATGAATCGTTTGCGCGCGAACTCGAGTAAAAGATATTGAAATTGCGCGAACTTGGATTTCTCGCGGAAGACGATCCCGCTTGTCTGGGAGGAGGATTCCGCTATAAAAATTGCCGCACGACGCGCGGCTAAACGAACAATTCGACCGCGATTATCAAGCGGAACGGACTGAAGTATCGGAGTATACGGAGTTATCGGAGTATCGTAGCTGTAGAACCGTGCGAATTAACGGCAAGAACAAACGAAAAAGTGAACGAACTACGATGCAGGACTGAGTGAGGCTACCGAGAATTATCTAAGAAATATGCAGAAAAGTTCGACTACGTAAAGGAAAAAGGAGCTAAAAGGATAATCGCGACGAGAAGCGAGCTTCTATGATCGCCTCGTCATTCTACATAGCATATAAATTCTCTCAAGGGAGCACAAACTGCGTGGCTCTCATCCTTGACCACTATCTATATCCACTACTAAGCTGCTTGAAAATACCACTGTGTATGTGTGTATGTGTATATTTGGGTGGAAAAAACGAGGCTCGGTCTGCTCGAAGTCCTCGACGATCGGAGCTTTGCACGTAAAAGCTTGATAACATATATAGAGACAAGTATAATATTGCGGGTAAATGCTTTATTCATAGAAACGTGTATTTGAGGCAAAATTTTCATATAAATCCTCGACATATTATTATACTTTATAATAAAGTATACGAAGCTCGAAGAGAGAGAGAGAGAGAGAGAGAGAGAGAGAGAGAGAGAGAGAGAAAGAGAGAAAGATTTTCATTTGAAGCAACAGTCGATTTCCATGAAAGTTGGACTATTGGAATTTATTAACTAGATAATAAGAACGGAATGTTTATTTAAGTGAAACAATATCTCTTCGAGCTACAAATGGAATCACGTAAAAGAAAAAGAGAGAAAAAAATCGATCGTGAAATCTCTTTAAAGCTCTTGGTCTCACTGTAGTCATCTTGATTTACGGCACCAGAAAAACGAGAAAAAATATGTTTAAAATTCTTATAAAAAGTACATAGGAATAATAAAATATGTCTGTAAAACGACGCTTGCGAATTGAGCAAATTTGTAAGATTTAATCTCATATAACCTTACTTGAAAGGAGATTAAAGCACTCAGTGTGTCGTGTTTTCAGTGGCATATTTAAGAAGACTATTCATGAACTTACTATTTTTTGAACAAAATTACATTTCTATACATTTATTTCACTAAGTAATAAATGTTAATTTGAGAGACAATGATAATTTGAATAGAATATTAATTTGAGATAAATATTTATACACAATTTTACGAATACCAAAACTATTAATTTTTTTATCTTTTCTTATTAATACTTCACACATTTGTGCACCAGTTGATCTATTAGAAAAACACAGATAATAGAAAAAGTTACAAGTGCTTAAATATGTGTATACGCGTATGTATTTCGAGTATTACTATAAATTATAAACTTGCCACCACTATATTTTCCAAACAAAACGGATAATAATTCTGAAATTTATGTATAATAATATTAATTATTAAAGTATATTAAGTTATTAAAGTATATTAATGTTATAATTATTAAATTAAATTGAACTATTAAAGTATATTAATATTTAATAGCATAGTGGTTTTAAATCCTAATTTTACTAATTAGTTTTATTAAATTATTAAGTAATTTTACATTAAAATCCTAAATTTACTACTTTTAGTTTAAAAGAAGTTAAAGATGGAAATAAAAAAGAGATAATATCTTGATTCTAAGATATACGTATGAAAAGTGCCAACTTTAGTTACAAATATCTCGAAAACAATTCATTAAAGATTATTGAAATTTCTGTTATACATTATTAATTTGATTTATTTGTATATCATATACATATCACAAGTGAAACGATTAAACCACCTTAATTACATTGACTTGACCACACTAATTCTGTGATTGTTAATCGATTATCTCTCAAAATAAAGGAAACGTTTAAACATTTTACGAATCTGCTCAATCGATCGTGAGTATAAATTTACGGACACGTTTATTTATTTCAGTGCATTTTGCAAGAAATGTGAGCGTGTATTTTCTTTCTCTTCTGACGTCATCAGTCAAGATGGTTGCAGTGAAAGAGCCCCGAGATTAGATTCAGTTAGACGCAGAAACGAGAACGTCCATCAAATACACTTTTCGACCATGTGAATCAAGGGATTCGTGGTGAAACATTCTGTAGAATCGCTATTCTATTTTTATTGACAAGATCTATAAACTATATGTCGTCGCTAGAGGACTATGCTAGGTTTACATTGACGGTCTTGTAGGGTCACACAAGCACAAACGATGCATACCTTTAGATGGTAACGCTAATTTCACTGCACGGGCCAAGGACACGTAAGGCGCGTTTCGTGTTACGACGTTTCCAGAATCCAGATGTGAAGATCAGTCGAGAATCCGCCAACAGAGCGATATGAAAAGGAAAACATTGCATTAAGATACGTTCGATGCGCCGATCGAGCCGCACGTCGTATCGTCCTTCCCCGTCGATCGTCCCTCCTTCGTTCTCATTCCCTCAGGAATGATCGATAATGATCGCAAGAACTTGGAAGAAAAACAGAAATACGGGAAAATCCCAGCCTTGAATACACACCTAACCTCATCGTCCGCCATGGTGAAGTCTGGTGGTTACACGCGTCTACCTAAAAGAAAAAAACAACAGAACGATACAGACGTTTCCACTCTTTCTTTCATTTTCTTTTTTTCATCGGCACGTACGCAAACATACTACGTGCGCAACGCTGAAAATCTCTCCCGGCACATCGCGCTAATAATAGCACGCACCATCGGAACCCTAGTCGTTAAAATAAAATAGGGGCGTGCATAAGCGAGCGCAATAAACGTGTCTGCAGCCGCGCGCGCGGCTCTACGTCACGCGGTTGGACACAAAGTTGCGCGCAAACTTTTTTGCATATACATATCTACTTGTTATCACAAGGGAGAAAATGCAGTCGCGTTTCCGCGACTCGACGCGCCCGCGAACGAAGCGGATGAAAATAATGACGGGGGACGGGTGACGTCAATAGTTAAATGAAAACCTCGATCGTCCCGTCCCATCCCGTCCGTCCATCCGCGTTGCGTCTGTGTTACGCGCGATCGAAATAATAGCCGACACTTGCAGACGATATTTATCGCCGTTGTGCCCCTCCGTGTCCCTGCTGTGTTTCCCTCATCCCGGCTCAATAAATACGATCGATTTTCGCCGTAGCCAATAAATCACGTCGCTACACGCGTAGATTTCGTCGCTTAACGCGCCACGACGAGGAAGACAGAGAAAGAGAAAGAGAGAGAGGGCGCGATTGCGGTATAGAATATCCGGCCGCACGAAAATAGACGCCGGCCGCCCCCACTTTCTGCGTCGTTGTCGGGACGTCGGCGATCCAAATTTGGATGCACGTCTCTAGTAGATATTCTACAGTTGTCGGCAGGTTTAACAAGAGAAAGAAAGAGAAAGAGAGAGAGAGAGAGAGAGAGAGAAAGAGAGATTTGATAACGACGGATATACAGATAAACAAAGTTTCGAATTGCAGAAATGTAGAAAAGAGAGAAAAAAGAGGAGAGAGAATATTGATCAAGTTTTATACAGGGCGTCTGACAATTGATGACACATTCGTATGTGCAGAAGTCGTCAAACTAAACACAACATTCTTTTACAATTTCGCAAACAATCATTATCGCGGACAATCATATATTAATATTCTTTAATTAATAACTAAAATTTTACATAGTTATTTGCAAATTAGTAGAGGATTTTTTGTTTAGTTCGATCTAATATACAAGCATGCACATGACATAGACGATTCATCTACCGTATCGCGCGTGATCATTCACTAATTGTTTTTTTATTAATAACTAAAAATTTTTGTTTGCGAAATGGTAGAGGAAATTTTTATTTTGATGAGTTCTATCTGTACACACCGCGGCTGCATAACGAATTGTCAGACACTCTGTATACGCGTTACACGTTACGCTCGCTGACAGAAAGATTGTCTCACTTTTTCGAATGTGTTTCGTAATCGTGTATATCCGTCTTGTCCAATGGGAAAATTTGTTTTTCGATGGGAGAATTCTCTCATTGGACAAGACAGATACGTTCCGAAACGCATCCGAAAAAATGAGATAACCTTTCTGTCAAGGAGCATACACACATCATTTGTCAAATGACGTCTCGTACGAGAATCGCCGCGGCGAGAGGAAATATCGTACACACATTGACGTGACGTTCCGATTATTAATTGGACTTCCGCATGCACCTCGTCAGTGGAGAAACCGCGAGCGGAAATAACGCGACTTGGCGTTACCCAGGGGCGAACAATGATTTTTCGGAATTTGATGCTAATACTGCGTTATATATATAATAAATTTTTAATTTATATAAAATAAAAATAATAGAATTATTTATAATTTTTACTAAATTACTTATATAATAAAATTAAACATATATGAATATATAACTTGAATATACAACTCGTTTATAAAATATAATATTAAAAAAACAAAAAACTATAAAATTTCTATAAGTTTGTATAAAATACTATAAAATGAGAGTTTATTCCGATAGAGACCTGAATATAGCTTGAATTTGTTTATAATAAATAATATTCATGAAAAACTATAAAATTTTTATAAGATGAATTTGTATAAAATACTATAGAATGAGGATTTCTTCTATAAGATAAATTTGTATAAAATACTATAAAATGAGATCCTCTTCCGATGAAAAACTGAAGATTCAGCACCATTAGTTTCAGTTTGAATCCGTCCCTGGCGTTGCCGAGCACTCTCTTCGTCATGGTAGACGGGTCGATGAAGTTTTCAATTAAGTAACTTATACAGATAAACTTCCACGTATTGGTATTGCGTAATTTCGCTGTTCGTTGAGAGAAAGAGAAAGATAACAATTTGCGCAGCCGGCCAACGGTTGGCGCTCGTTGCTGCGGAACATTCGCTGCGAGAAGATGGATCGCGCGTGTCCTATAGCGACATTCCACATTCCGAAAATACTTAGGAAATGTTACGGCCACAATGAGACTCAAGTGAAATGTAGTGCAACATTGTAAACGAATGCTCGACAATGGTAAAACAAGATGCCATTAGTAGCGCGCGCAAAATGGCGCGTCTGGCGCACCAGTTATGACATCGCCGCTTACAAATATTTTCATAAAATTCCTCGTTTTTTCATTCCACATCTCTGTTCATTGCGCACGACAATAATAATGATCAATCTGTAGTAATTGGCAATTATAGAGAAATGAACGCGTACCATATTCTTTTTTAATATCTCCAATAAATTGTATTATCTCGTTAAACGCGAGATCGGAAATTACACGATATATTTTTCATACATTTCTCGCATTTTTCTCTTCTTTTTTCTCATCTCTATAAATCTCGACCATGAATATTTGGAGTGTGAAATTCGAATAAACGTTGCATAATAGGGATATCAATTTCAAATCTCTCTCTCTCTCTCTCTCTCTCTCTCTCTCTCTCTCTCTTTCTCTCGAGCCGCGGGTGGGATTAATAAAGAGCGACTCGTCGAAATAATTATTTGTTTAATATCGATGATAGGTCTCTCGCGCGGGCACCGATGCAATACCGTCGAAAATTTCCCGAAAAACGCGGATTGATCGATCTCTCAATCATTTCGTTCATTTGCCGGCGCGCACGACATACGCCGCTGTGCCTCCTCTTATATTCGTAACAGGCGATCGCCTTCGCTAAGTATAGATTTCCTCTCGCTCGAACCATTCCAAGACACGTCCTGCCACATCGGGACTTACGGACGTGCGTACCGTCTCCGATATCAAAGAGAGACGAGCGGTGCCGTAAAAATAGACAACTCACCGAATCTCATTAAGCTATGCGAGACACTTTAAAAAAGAATGATCAAACGACGAGAAATGGCGTCTCGAAGGAGCTTCCGGGGAGAAATCAAAGATTATGCGCGCGGGTCGTTTTGTCCTGTTGGAAAATTGCGAGTTGAGAGAAAGTTAGTCGAAATAATGATCTCTTTTAATTTGCTCGAACTTTGTGTTTGATGAACGAACGTGAATCTCAATTTGCCTTCGGTTGGAACGGGAGATCCGCCTTTTTGCGTCGGAATATTTCCATTCCAGCGCGGTGCACCGCTCCTCGTCAAAGACGACGAGATATTCCGTCGATTTTCTCGCTCGATGGCTGACTTGAGCGCGAATCGAGGTGCGAGCAGCCGAGAGGACCGACATAATTCTACAATCGATACACATGTTTCGCAGAAATAGCCGAAATATCTGACCCGACTTGGAAAGAAGAGAGAAAGAGAGAAGGAATCCTTGTTCATCACTCGGAAGCTCGTTTCACTTTTGAGTCGAACGATCATCCATCAATGATCGCCGATTCGTCACTGTCTCGGGAATCCGCTCGTGGATCAACCGCCGTGACCTTGAAAAGTATCTTCGAGAAGTATCTACGATCTCTCGTACAAGCACGTCTCACTGACACTCGATTGAACGGCGGAAACTTCTCAATCCTTCTCCTTTATCGGACATCGAAGCCTTTCGGGGGTAACAACTCATTCTTGGGGGAGAAGTCGAATGAGTCTTCCATCTTTCTTTCCGTTTCTCTCTCTCTTTCTCTCTCACTTCACCCAAAGATTCTCCAGATTCTCGTCATTCCTGGAGAACACGTAGGACGCTCTTGGTTCTGCTTCCAGGACACTCTCGCGATGAGGTGAAATACAACGACGAGGACAACGGACGGGTCGTAGCAGTGTAGTGGGCTCTCTTACCTTGTGGAGAAACTTGCTGGTTGCGACTAGCCAACCGGACCTTAGGCAGCTGACTGTGCCGTCGTGGATACCCGCTCGACTCGGGGAACTTCCACCGCGGACTGTTCACGTGGTACGCCGTGACCAATGGCGGTACGCCATTGGTCGTAAGCATTTTTAGGCGAGAGCTCTGCCCGCTCCGCTTGCTGCCAAAAATAATCGGAAACTGAAAACGGAGCCGAGCCCGCTTGCTACGTACGTACGTCGCTAAGCTTGCTCTCTCGATACCTTACTTCCCCGCTGCGCCGGATCGTCTTCTGATCTGGCTCACCGAGGCTTGTACGAGGTGAGAACGAAACGGTCTTGAACTCGTTCGCCCCCGAGTGCCGCTTAATTGAGATGCAGTTATTCAAGAACGGTATAATCGTTCATCGTTATTGGTGGAGAATTCTCTGAATTCTAGAATGAATGCATGATTTTTGCATCGAAATAAATACATAAAATAGTTTGCTACCCCAACATTCTCTGTCTTATCTATGCATCAAAAATCCAATAAAGCAAGAAGTTTTTCATACACTGAGAAAAAAGATTTGTTGTTTGTAATTATGTATAATCACATAGAGAAATAATTACTATAAATTATGTTTAAGAAAACAATATTTTCATTAAATTTTTATATAATGTTAGTAATAATAATCTTATATGCAATGTTACTACTATTTAATTACAAAAAATACAGTTAGGGCCAAAACTACAATTATAATCAGATCAACAATTTTTTTTTACAGTACCCACAAGTGCACATACAAAGCTGACAGCCTTAGTATAATGTAAGCAAGAAATTTAAAATTTTATGATGACATATATAGTCACAAACATGTAACAATTTCTTTCATGAATAATTAAAAATCCACGTGGTTATTTGCAAAATGATAAGGGGTTTTTTTTGTTCAATTTGACCTAATGTACGAGCATACAACAGCACACATCGCTATTACAGCTCATCTACAATATCGCGATCATTCACCAATCTTTTTTAATTAATGTCTTAAAATATATATTAATTAATATTTCAAGATTTAATTTAATATCTCAAAATTGATTACAAATATTACAAAATGGCATGAGACTTTTATATTCACCTCAATCCATTCTACGCTCTTGCAAAGTTTGAGAATAGTAATCTGGGACACTGTATATATACGTCTTAAATTTGTATCTTTTAGTGAAAAAAATAATTTCAATTAAATATATTGTTTATTAAAAGCATAAAAGTTTCATCATAGAAACGATATTTATTAATTGCATAATATATACATAATGTTTTATATTGTTTAGAATAATAATACGGAAGTGACAATCACACATAGAAAAAACTCATTGTATGTAATTGATTTTCTCATAGAAGAGAGTTACAATTGATTTTCACCTGAGGCTAGATAAAAAAAACTTGTTTGTAAAAACAGAAAGATTCTAGTAGAAGATTCAATCAATTCTTAGTTATCTGATTCGAATTGTAATGCAGCCTAATGTTGTATCATTTCTTATAATCAAGTCTTATAATTTTGTCTTTATTCTGTTATATAAACTAATATTTTTTTTTTATATATGACATTTTCAAACAGTTTAAAAAAGCCTTTATTATGTACATAAATTTAAATAGCTAACTAAATATTTACTATGAAAAAAGCACATAATCAATTTTAATATATCTGCATAATTTACCGTAACTAAATTTACTTTCGATCAAATCGACGAAATAACGGTGTTAAAGGTATAGAGAGTATTTCAGAAACAGCAAAACTTTAAGGATATATTCATTGTAATAAAGGTTAAATAAACTTAGGTCTGAAAACGTTTTATTTTCAAATTATAAACATTTTATTTACGACAGGTTTTGGGAAGAATACTTCATCAAAGAAATTACTGGAAATGGTTTTCATGAAGCACTATCTCAGATAAAGTCGACATCTCTGGAAGTTTATGTTTGTTTTAGTATCACACAAACTCGCGTATATTAATTCGTTATAATTTGTTGGTTATTAAATGGACGTATAGTTTAGTATTATGTTAAACATGACAGATTACTATCAATATTAATCTTAAAGAACTAAATTACACTAATATCAATAAAATAAAAGTTTCTATGATCTGGTTGTTTAAAATATATCTACAATCATAATAATGATTAATAACATTGCTCAAACCGCACCTCAATCATGTATTTTATATATAATGTTGACTTAGGTTGCTGCAAACTTGCCCCGATATCGGGGGTAACTTCGCCGTTGCATATTTCGATTAGAGAAAAAATATTCAATTTACAGAATCCTATCTAGTACGAAAACACAAAGAAAGGTTGTCTTTATTATATTTGTACAGCCAAACGTAACAATTATTTGTCAAAAAAATTTTAATACCGAAATTCTGAAAAGTATGCGAACATATTTCGGTTCCTCCTAAGTACTCTAATGTGCCTCTTAATAATATTATAATTTCTGTAAAAAATGCTTAATAAATTAAAACGAAAGTTTGGGATATCGAAAACAGGTAAATCAAATGTGATCATCTTGATCAAAAGACGAAAACTGAAATCGCAAAAATAAATTAGAATGATCTATGATTTGGAGTTCGTGACAATGATTGAGGTTACAGTATAGTGTGGAAAAACTGAAATATTATCGGTATCGCCTGAATATCTCACTTTGCAGCTGTTTGGCACTAGTCACGTTAGCTGGTAGTGACGAGAGAACGTCGACACCCTCTCGAACGTAAGACAATCGTATCGGTGTAATGTCACCGTCGAAATTCAATGAAGTTGCTGGCTCCAAGCTAGAAGTGCGCGCTATGCGGGTCTTGTAAAGCATTCCTTATTCCCGAAAGCTGCCAAACGTGACTCATTTCCGCAACACTAATTATAATTACGCTAATTAAATGGTACAGAACGCTGAAGCTATTACTGCACAGCGACGCTTTTATAAATATATGTCATCCACTTCGTCATCGTTGGTAATAATTATTGTATAGTTATTAATATAGTATCGTGTTATGCTGGCATGGAATGAGTGGAAGGACAACTTCGCTGCGCGTTATTATGATACCTATGATATTATTATATTACACATGAAGCTATTATTACTCGATAAGTAAACAGATTTAGAGACTGATATAATTATTTCAACGTTCGAATAAAAGCATCATTACTTTCCGACCGTTATTCTCACTTTCATTATAGATACAGAAATCTTCTCGCAGATAGAAACACACAGACAATCTCACACAGATATAACGTTTGTTTTACGTCTTTGTTATTTTTAGTTCTGTCGTTCCGTTCGAACTTATTCCATTTTCAAAATGCAATAATTTAATATTGTAGCTTTTCTAATGTTTTACGATCCTGTTAATCTATTGTTTAATTTTTCAATAGATATTCGCACGATACGAAATGACAAATATGCTTAAAACTTGATGCAAGATCAATAAGAAAATTGACCGAGAAAATGATGGATATCGAATTGTAGTTTCGTGTATTTGCGAAAAAGCAGAGAATCAAGTAGAGCAAACTTATTGAGTCAGATGCATGGTGCCATCGATGAGATAAAAATAAAAACTGTTAGTCTGGTTTAAGCATATACGAAAAATTTCGCTGTTTAATAACCTCCTGTTGGTAAATTTTGTATCAAATTAGCGTAGATATTAATTGCACAAATACAGTTTTATGAAAATATTTAATATATTTCAGTGTAGGTATACTGACAAATAATACAAAAAACCATCAGCCCTGAATAAACTCTTGTATCTATTAAAATGACTCCGAGGAGTCCAAAGGATAGTTGAAGAAGAATAATATTATCGACCATTTTTAATCATCTAATATAAATATCTAGACATTTAGTGTGCAATAAAATATAATTTACAACTATCTTGATGTTTCATTTTTATGTATACAGATTTACGTTGAAATAAATTAGATATTTTTGTAAAACTGCATTTTTACAGTTACCATACAAACTAATTTAGCCGACAGGAATGTTACCGACAGGAGGTTATTAAATACCGACATTTTCTGTAAGGCCAAGGGTTTTTAGTATTACCTAAGATTGGATGGCAATGGTAGCCTTATCCTTGTTTACTACGTTGTCAAATTTTTTAGAAATCGAATCCAAAAAAGAAATGGTCAAAAAGGACTTGAGTGACGGTGTCAAAGTACTATGATCAATTTCATTATGAACATTGTATTTACCGAAAAAGTAAGTTAATCGACAATTAATTTTACTAAAAATTCATTCAATAGGGTAACCGTTCTTGATTAAAGTGCAAATGACTATAGATCTAAATTTTTTTGTTGATAACCAGGATGGTTGAGACTCTATCGACGAGGTTTATGATGATGCTCTTTTTTTACTTAAAGAATAAAAGAAAAAGAAATTCAAATAGCGGCCAGAATATAATGGTTTATAATATCAATAAAAAACAATGGCATTATTAAAGATGATAAGGGTAGTATCTAAAAGATTTATTCTGTCGAACCAATTTCAACTGTGAATTGGAGACGTGAATGGAAAGAGTTCAAAATATGCAGGATCTCAAAATAGTTGGATCTCACCAATAAAATCGCCATTAGCAGCCAAAATAATATTATCTATATATCTAAAATAAAATGATAAAGGAATTGGTATTCTTTTGATCGCTTTTTCTTCAAGATCCTGTAAAACGATGTCTGAGATAACAAGAGACCCATGGGGCTACCGAAAGTTTGATCTTTTTAAATAGTACCGTCGTAACTGAAAAAAGTGAAGTTAAATACGAAATGGAGTGCCGATAGAAATTTATCGAGAGGAATCTTAGTTGATTTTTCGATGAAACTACCTCTGTGAAGTTAGCCCCCCACTTTTAATAAAAAAAACTTTTTGCATAAAATTACGCCAAATCGTTTGTAGAAATATGTAATAAAGGAATTTTCGTTTGTAGTAAAAAAATAAAAAAGTTGATTTGGTTAGATAGATTGGATTCATTAAATATACTAAAAGATTATTAACAATTATATAAAAATAAACAGTTGTTTGATTAAAGAAAGTAGATCTACAATTGACTCAATGGGGTATTTCTAAAACTGTTACATAATACTGTTGAAGAAAATATACGTATTTTTAATACAACAATGTGGCGTATTAATTTCAATAATAAAATTAGTGAACCAAAAATATTCATTCTAATTAGACTTAAATTTATTTTCTTCATGTAGAATGCTCCTTCCAAGTATTCACATATCGACTGATAACCTCTCTGACGCAGTGAAGTTACGTTATACCACAAAATGTTGATTAAAGTATTTAATCAAAACAATCGATATGCAATGTACGAGTGTGTACATTAATATAAATTGACCAAATGAATCCGCAAGAGATCCAATTATATATCGACTTGTGCTGTGAAACAAACCGCTGAACAAACCGCTCAGAAAAGTCAAAATGAAGTTTTGGTTTTTCCTCGGTTTTTTCTTTACTTTTCTCTTCGGAATTATATATACTGTAAGTACTTTACACGCAAATTAATGAATTTACTAATCTTAAAAAGATTTAAATTAGTGTTCGAAACGTTTTGCTGGTTACATAATTCGAACAGTTGAAAAGACTGCAAAATCTTTATGGAAAATGGCTATCGGTTAAATTTTCTGAAACTATGCTATGATAGTTCTTGATGTGTAAATCAAAAGGATCAATGGGCGCATAGTCTAAAAAAATTATAGTTTTCTAAATCCTACAACTTTTGTGTGAAACATTTCTTTATAAAACTTATATTTTTAGAGATATTCAAGGGCCAGGAATATTCTCGTATTAAGGATTTCTCTAGGATTAAATTTTTAGTTATCGGGCCTTTAACAGCTTGTAATTAAAGGTTAAAAGAAAATATAGCTGTGTAAATTTTTAAGAAAATGTTATAAATCTGTAATTAAAGAAACAAAATCACAATTATTGGCACAGTCTATGTATCAGTTATTGGCATTTTAATAAATTTAAAGAAAAGAATCTATAATTAAAAATTTATAATTGAATGTTTATCACTATAATAATGTATAACTATAATATATAATTATAACTCTATAACTCTAAAAATCTGCGGCATCCAGGAGAATTGCCTATGCTGCCGAATTTCGCATTTTATCTGGCTGCAATTTTGATGCTACTGAATCAAACGAGGTCGGCACGTCTATTTTAACCTTTTGTGTCATGGTAGAAAGTATACTTCTCATCTTTTTATTTTTGAAGCATACATTTTTCTTTTTAATCAATTTACGTGAAACTCGGTACACAAGGGTTTTTGGGATCGCTGATTACGAATCTGAACTCAAAAATTCGAAATTCAAAATGATAGATTTAATATGACGGAAATACGAAAAGTGGCTCAATTCGAATGAAATTCGGTATTCGGGGGTTTTTGGGTCGCTGATGACAAATCTTCGTTTTCTTTTTAACAATATTATCTCTCTGCAATGTTCTCTTGCTCTTTACGTTACCCGGATCTAACGACGAGGACTTGGTAAGGATAGTTATAGATCCATTTTTGTATTTATTTTATATATTTTTGGTTTTTTATTTTATATATTTTTTATATTTTTTATTTATACATTTTTTATTTTATATAATTTTATATTATTTATTTTAAATATTTATTTATTTTATATATTTTTTGTTACTTTATATAAATATATAAACAAAAAATATATAAAATAAAAATAAAAAATGGATCTATAACTTCGTCACGTTCTCATCATAGATCCGGGTAGCTCAAAGAGCAAGAGAACATTGCAGAAAAATAATATTGTTAAAAAAGAACAAAGATTTTTCATCAGTGATCCCAAAAACCCCCGAGTACCGAATCGAGCCACTTCTCATGTTTCCGTCCGCCATATTGAATGCGCCATTTTGAATTTCGAAATTTTAAGTTTGGATTCGTAATCAGCAATCCCAAAAACCCTTGTGTACCGAGTTTCACGTAAATTGATTAAAAAGGAAAATGTATGTTTCAAATATAAAAAGGTGGAAAGTATACTTTCTACCATGACGCAAAAGGTTAAAAGAGTTTAGCAGCTCTTACATACACATATACATATACATTATATATATATATATATATATTAAGCCGTCTTTCAGAAGTCAGAATACAGGGCGTCTTATGTCCCGATTTTAGACATTGAGTTGTATGGGATGTAGTAGGATGCGAATTTATTATTACTACAATATATTATTTTTCAAGATAATATGTTATGTGTAACAGAATTTACGGCTTACAGATTCGCCTAAAGAGATCCATATATAGTGAAACGGACCTTACAGAGACAGAGAATTTCAATATAGAAAAAAGCAAAATTAAAGGCCGTTTCCGTGTACGTATACAACAAAAAGTAATAAAATGTTAAAAAATACACTTGACATACAATATTAAAAGAAAAAAACATGTTGCTAAAAAATAGATGAGATTAATACAAATAATCATGTATATAATTTTGTAGAAAGAAGACCAAGGCCGATTTTCGACCCCGATTCAATTGATTTTCATTGAAATATCATGTAGGGTGAATAAGGCATGAGAAAACATTATTTCTAACTATTTTTAATCATCAAGTGTCAAACGTGGAAAGTCTTGAAGCGATGTTGTTTCCATTGGCTTCCAAATAATCTTCTACTTAGTCCATCCTTTTTTCAGAACTTTCTGTTCAAGATTACTGCAGCACATCCAAACGATGAAATAATAGTAAATCGTATGTCGACACTTAACCTCCAACCAAATAATCTTGAACAGAGAAAGAAAAATGGATTAAGAAGGAAATTATTTAAAAGCCAATGGAAGCAACAGCGCTTGAAGACTTTTCACGTTTGATGACTTTTCACTCGATGATTTGACACGATTAACTCTCGATGTCCATAAAGTAAAACAAGCGAAATTATATACAGAAGAATATTTAGAAGAGGACGTTCTTTATGCATTATCAATTTACAGAGAAAGCGAGAATATAGTTCGTATTCGTCTTTAGTTGTTGTCTTTCCTGCATTTGCCTCAATCTGCGTTTGAATTCCGTTAAATCGTGCAAAATTCGAGGAATATCGTCATTTCAGCTGATGGTGCACTGTTGGCCTACAGTTAATCATTACGTCATGGTTTGTGCACACGTCTAGAATTATCACATAGTTCGTAGAAATAATTTGGATTCGGTACTTCGCATTTTGCTCGCGTCAGTAGGTGTATCATCATTTTTGTACAGTATATATTCCTCCTTCTATATGATGTTATTTTTTCTATTAGAAATTGTGTTTTCTCATGCCTTATTCACTCTGAATGATATTCCAATGAAAATCAATTGAATCGATGTGGTGCCGAAAATCAGCCTCATGAAGCCTAGGCTAAAAATTATACACTGAAATATCCAGGTAAGAAATTCAAGAAAAAGAACAATAGTAAAAAAAAGCCATTTTTGCGTATCAAGACAAACGTGAAAATTATCATTCTTTATTAATTTTGACCAGTTAAATATAGTAGTGCTGTTAGAAGACCCGGAAACACCGGGAACATTTTCCATTTTGAGGTTAAATTTTGCATTTCTCCAGATAATTTCTGATATCTTTACAAGTATTGCCAAACTTGTTGATATTGTGGAGGGAAATTGTTATCTGCTAATACACAAACCACAAACAAGTACAGAGTATTCTCAACATCAATTAGATGACTGACTTCCGATATTTAAAATGGCGGAAATACCATTTTAATTTCAAAATAGAAGATGTTGCCAGTGTTTCCGGGTAATTCTAATAGCACTACTGTATTCACCTGGTTGAAATTAGTAAGCAATGATAACATTTTCACGTTTGTCTCGGTAGGCAAAAAACTTACGTCTTTTTACCATTATTCTTCATCAGTAAGACTCAAAAACTTGGCGTGCCCGAGTTGCATTTAAACTCATTCTCCTCTCTATTATGTGTATATATATTATAATTTACATATATTAATACTCTATGTTTTAATGTTATAATTTATTACTATATTATTTTTACAAGATAGTATATTATGTATAATTTAATGCTTACAAGTTTACATAAGGACACCCATAATAAATTGGACTGTATAGAGATAAGACACAAGATCGATATAGTAGAATACTTAAACTTACTTATACAACAAAATGTAATAAAATGTTAAAAAATACATTTAACATAGAATGTTAAAAAAACACATTTCTATAAAATAAATAAGATTAATGCAATTAATCACATATAATTTTACAGAAAAATTTACAAATTAATTGAAACATATATATACAGCAAAACTTTAATGAAAATTCAATCAAAAATATTATACAGATTTACTCTATGTTATAATTTACTCTGTTATAATTAGCACATACTAATATTCTATCTATCTTATATATACTATATCCATCCTACGTATATATATGCTATTCAATCCTGTGCACCTTCTACTTTATCCATGAAGTGTACAAATAATTGTGGTATCTTAAATTTTAGCTGTTGCCAATATAATATTTGTAATCTTGTTTATATTATTTAATTTCTTATATTAATTTCCCATATTTATCGATACAACCATGTTGATATCATATTGATATCACATGATTCCAAACTATGACTGCAATATAAAATGTTGTAAAACAGAGTAGAAAAGAATTGAGATAGAGACGCAGGGTCGCTGCATTGCGTGGAGACACAAAGTGTATATACAAATCGAATCGCGGAGCGAGAGAGAAGCGAATATTGTTATTACGAAAGTGTAGAGAAAGAGAGCGAGTAGTGAAAGGTCGAGAGGTATCAATCCGAACAAGGCGAAGTTGAATCCCAGCAAATACCATTCGTACTTAATAAATTGATTTAGGTGGGAACAACGACTTGTTAATTAAACATCACTTATTACCATCCTAGAAAAAAAGAATTCCCATATAATTAACGTATATTAACTTTTTGAGTATAACGTAGCGTCATAAAGCAGACGTCAATTATTAAATGCACCTATTTGAGTATAAAGTAGTGTTATGTAGCAGAGGTCAACCATTAAATGCAACTCGAGTCTACCAAGATTTTGAGTCCCGATGATAAATTTTTGTTGAATTTCTTACTTGGACATTTCATAATTATTAAAGTTTAGCAAAATTTATTAGTTTTTTTTTAATATTTATAGTATTTCTGGTAGAATTTTCATTAATAATAATTATATTCTGTTCTTATGGTCATTATTATTTCCTCTAATCTCCAAAATAATTTTCAGCTCGTTACCCACGAACCACGACGTCACCGTAGACAGATTCATTTACCCATTTTATCCCTTGGGGATCTGATACAAAAGATGGGATTTATAAATGAACAATCTATAAATAATACTGAAATAATTTATCCATTATATTTCATTTAACATTGATTCCAACGGACGTTCTAACGTAAGTAAACGTGTAAAGCGAGGCACAAGCGTATTATTGCACGACTGCATTATAAAATTAAGAGACACAAATACACCTGGCGTGCCTGGGTGTATATATAATTTAAATATATTTTCTAAATAGTATTTTCCCAGACAACATAATGTCTAAAATCGGGACATAAGACGTCTTAAAGATAATCTTTGAGACGCCTTAAAGACATTTATATGTAAATCGTCTGAAAGACATCTTAAAGATGATCTTTAAGACGTCTTATGTCCTGATTTTAGACATTATGTGGTTTCAGGCAATGAAATTATAATAGAGTAATGTCGTAAAAGCTGTAAAAGAATGACGCTCAGGAGTAGCATTGGTTATCATGATGCTATAGAGTGGTAAATTTTCGAATGTGTTTTCTAACCTTAAAATGCTTTGTTAGCAAAAATAAAAAAATACGTGTCTAATGTTTTTTGATGTACTACATGCAAAGTTTTAAGAAGATCGGCGTGTGGCACTTGGGTAATGTTACTTGTAAGTTGAAAATAAATTTATAAATTTTTTTTAAATAGAATATTCAACACATAGCTACTCCTTAAAACAAAATTTAATTATTTTAATTGTGTCATGAGGTTGCAAAACATGGAAATTCGAAAGATGCTTACCTAAAATATTTAAAAATCTGCTAACCTAAAAGCCTAATAAAAGATAATGAACTAAAATATAAAATAATTTCAAAATACAACAATCTTAAATTCAGAATTACGCCATATTGAATCCGCTATTTTAAATATCGGAAGTCAGTCATCTAATTGATACTAAAAATATCCTGCACTTGTTTGTGATTTGTGAATTTGCAAATAGCAATTTGTCCCCACAATATCGACAATACTTGTAATAATATGGGGGATCTGGATAAATATAACTTTAATTTCCAAATGGAAGATGTTCTCGGTGTTTCCGGGTAATAATAATAGCACTACTGTATTTAGCTGGTCAAAATTAGTAAGGAATGATAACATTTTCACGTTTGTCTCGGCAGACAAAAAACGGCCTTTTTACCATTGTTCTTTATTATAAGTTACCATTATTCTTTATTCATCTTTATTATCACTCAAAAACTTGGCGTGCCCGAGTTGCATTTAAACTCATTCTCCTTTCTATTATATATATTATATATTATATATTATTCTATTATATTATATATATATATATATATATATATATATATATATATATATATATAT